GGCTGGGCAGGAGTGGCTCAGTTGGTTGAGCATCACTTTCTGTGCACTAAAGGTTGCGGGTTCAATCCCCAGTTAGGGCATGTACAGAAGGCAACCAATCAATGTTTCTCTCTCCTCTCCTCCTCTGTCCTCTTCTCTCTCTCTCCCTTCCTCTCTAAGCACGTCCTCAGATGAGGATTAAAAAAAATACACACACACACACACACTCTCTAGAGACCTGGTGCATGAATTCGTGCACTGGTGGGGTCCCTTGGCCTGGCTGGAGATTGGGGGGGCTGGCCAGCCTCAGGGAGGGACCATGGGAGGTTGGTTGGCCCCAGGAGGTTAGCCGGTCGCAGGAGGTTGACTGTGAGAGCACACTGACCACCAGGGGGCAGCTCCTGCGTTCAGCATCTGCCCCCTGGTGGTCAGGGCGCATCATAGCAACCGGTCGTTTAGTTGTTAGGTCGTTTAGGCTTTTATATATATAGAATATATACACACACTAGTGGCCTGGTGCATGGATTCATGCACAATGAAAGGAAATTAATTAGAAGAAATATTTTAATATCATTATTCGTGTCTTGCTAATGAAAATATAATTCTACTGAGTCTCTTATCTACCTACTTCAGCATTTCTGAGAGGATCAAATGAGATGAGGCATGGGAAAACACTTCACAAATATTTGGTTAACTATAAAATGTTTGCAACCAGCTATAAAGCAAGTCAGGTTCCTGGGTTGAAGAAACTCCAAGGATGCTAGTCACTAGGGAGAGGAAGCCAGGCACTGCTACATGACATCATTACCTGGTTCCCACAGTGACCGTTTCCAGGCTGGGTTGGGCTGTGGGCCGCATTTTGTGCCATGGGGGTCTTGGCAGCGTTAGCTACAATTTGGTGGGGTGTCGCTCTGGGGTGGTGGCGGGGCCTGTGTCCCATTGGGGAAAGCCAAGTGTAGTTTTGTTGGCACCAGGTCTGTAGTGCCGTTTATTTTTATTAAAAAATATTTTTATTGATTTTTTACAGAGAAGAAGGGAGAGTGATAGAGAGTCAGAAACATCGATGAGAGAGAAACATCGATGAGCTGCCTCCTGCACACCCCCCAACTGCGATGATACGCCCGCAACCAAGGTACATGCCCTTAACCGGAATCGAACCTGGGACCCTTCCCAGTAACCTAAAGGACACCTAGGCAGGAGTCCATAGAAGGGCTTCCTGAATTCCTTGAAATGAAATGTGAAATTTTTAGTGCATTTTTCTGATAAGAGGGATTATAATTTTCACTGAATTTTTAAGGCATGTGTATACATATCAAACTACTTAACCAAAATGTTAAGCTGAATTAACTTGTCACATTCACCTTTCTCTTCTCAAATCTGTACTGATGTATGACTAGCAACTTGGAGACAGCAGTCTCTGCTAAAAGAAATGTAACTGGAAAAGACACAGCTGGCAGACTCTCACAGATTCCTACCAGAAGGTGCATTTAAAATTTTCTATATTTGGAAAAGTCCTTTAAAGTTACTGCCCTATCTTAACATATTCTATACCCATGTGAATTAAAATATTTAATACACTTCCCGCTATTGTGTTCAAGAGAAAAATGTTACATTCTGAACATAATGACAACGAAAACATTTTTTACTGTCATCTAATTAAATGGAATAGGGGAAAACCCAGGACCATCAAGATTTACAGGAAAGCTTTTTTTCTGCTTTTACTGCACACCAAGTGAACCAACCAGTAGGAACAGCATTTAACTCACTCAATTCAATCTTGGGAATAATATGATAATAATTAAACAGATGAGAATAGGCAATTAGGTCATTTTAAAAGAAATAAAAAAGTTGTATTTGAATTAAAAGGTTCTCTAGTTGAGCTAAAGAAGCTAGTCAGGAGCTCAACTATTGTATGCGAATCCATTTACAAGAGTTCCAGAACAGCCAAGATTATCCTATGGTGCCAAGAAATCAAAATAGTGGTAGCCTATGGGGTGGAGCAGGGCGCATGACAGTTCTTCTGGGGTGATGGAAAGGTCATTTACTATTATTTTTTTTGGAAAGGTTATTTTGACTTGAGTGGTGCTTGCACAGGCGTATACATTTATGAGACAAGCTTAACCACATACATAAGATTTTATTGTTAAAGAAAACTGAAAAGAGGATGACACCCTTGCAGTGGTTCTCAACCTTCTGGCCCATTAAATACAGTTCCTCATGTTGTGGCCCAACCATAAAATTATTTTCGTTGCTACTTCATAACTGTAATGTTGCTGCTGTTATGAATCGTAATGTAAATATCTGACATGCAGGAAGGTCTTAGGCGACCCCTGTGAAAGGGTCGTTCGACCGCCAGAGGGGTCGCGACCCACAGGTTGAGAACCGCTGGATACAACCGAAGCCCAGGCTCCTTCCGGGAACCTCTGTGGAGGTCGCTCCACACGCTGCGGTGTGGGGCTCTGAGACCATTCAGACGGCTGATCGCCAGGAGCGCTCGCCACCACTGAGGTTCAGTCACTCCCAAGGCGAGAGGCCCAGGCACCACGCACACAACCAGGCAAGGAAGCGGGCGTCCCGGCCGGCCTCGGCCCGCGCGGCCACACGACACCTGGGCAGCGGGAAAGGTAACTGGGAACAGAGCGAGGCGCCGGGCAAGGGGCGGCGAAGCCCGATCCGAAACAGCAGCAGAATCCGCGCCCCGCTGCGAGCTCCCAGAGCCGGGGGTCTCCCCTCATTTCATCCCCCCGCACACCCCTATCCCGGCCCTTCCCACAGTTACGGCGGCCTCTCGGACGGCCCGCCCCACACCAATCACCACCGGCCTCAGGGTTCCCCACATCCCCACCCGACCCCAGGACAGAGAAACACATCCGCGCGCGCCACAAGACGCCGCTGTGGTGCCGCCTTCTAGAATTAACTCTGCGCTTGCGCTTCCGATAAACATCCCCCGCCCTCCCAACACACACCTCACTTAAAGTCTTTTTTTCAAAAGGGAACAGAGACTCGGTCGGCGCAGGCGCAGCCCTGACGCGGCCCGCGCGCCACCACTTCCGCCCTGTGCGGGAGGCGGGGGACGCGGGAGGGAGCCGGCGGGCGCGAGCCTGGGTCCACGGAGGTGTACAGCGCCTGCTGCGCGAGCCATTGACTCACCAAGTACAACTGCTGCCAGCGATTTTGAGCATCCAACTCCTCAAACTCTCGCTCGATCGTGGCAGACATGGCCGCTGGAGCGAGCTAGCGCGAGCGGAGCTGTCCCGGCGGAGAGGCTCAGGCCCCCGCTCGATCCGGGGAGAGTGCTGGCGCTGTGGCC